TGTGATTTAGCACCTGTCTGTTTTGGTGGGCTCCAGACCTTAACCCATTTTTAAAAAATTAATTCCACAAGTATAGTATACCCAGTCCTTTTACACATGTGCATAATGACTCACTAATGAATTGTGAAGTGAACTTGTTGAGTTACGACTAACAAAAAAGTAGAAAAGAATAAGAAATATCAGAATGCAGTGCCCATAATAAGTACTGTTGTAAATACTTTTACTGGATAACAGTTTTAAAAATGAATTTTTTGAAATCCTTCTCTGCTTTATTATCAGAGAGTAAAAACACTTCAGGCATCTCTTTTGTGGCAACTCCCTGCTTACCTCTCTATAAAAAAATTGCCATTGAGTAGATTTGTATTTGATGCTACTTTGGGCAGCCCAGAGTATAAGGTCATGACTGGAGCATGGTTCCCGAGAGCCATCATGTGGCAGCTTAATCAGTGAGTGATGGCTGCATAGAGGCCTCTGCATATGCACGGGGGTGTGGCCCAGGGGAGATCTGGAATCCTTCCTGGGTTCTGACTTATCCTCACAGCCTCACCCTGCACCACCTCTTTTGATAAGCTGGGGAGAGGCCAGACACCGTGCCCACCGTCACCTAGCACTGGCCCTGGTGCCAAGCAGCCTCTCCTTTCAGGTGGGGAGCCTCTGTCCTCCCCACCATAAGCATTTCCGGCAACCCTCCAGCTCAGGAAACGTGGCCTCTTTGAAGAGGTGAGTGCCTCTGAAGTAGTCACTGTGCATCTGGAGGTGCTTCTGCTGCCAGGGGTCCGTGTCGGGCTCCTCTCCCTTTCCTCTGAAACCCATACACACAAATTCAATTTCCAACTTGTTTTTTTAAATGGTCTCAGAAGTAACTTTGGGTTGGGGAGGGGGTGCTAGCACTGATGGAAGGAGATCTGTGCTCTTGAAAACTCTTTTTTGGAAAACTGCTGGCACAGGCTAATCGACAGAGAAGTAAATGACCCTACTGTTTCTACCTGCTGACAGACTCAGCCTTGGGGTGGCTGCAAGTAGCTCTCACCACAGGGCCGAGACATGCCTTCCTCTTTTCTGCCTTTCATACAAATAGGGAGTAATGTTGTGCCTGCCCAGTGACACAGCTCTGTAGTATCTGCCTGCTAAGGACTGGTTTTAAAACCTTTTCATAATCAGTGTTCTTTGGGAAATGCTAATAGACAAACCCAGCCAAGCTCAGGAAATGTATTGACCCAAAGATGAGTAACCAGCCTCATGCCTCCTTCCATTTCTGCTCCTTTTGGTGAGTGAGAGGCTTTGGCACGTTGGCCTTGCGGAAATGAGGCTGTGTGTTTCGGTTCTGTTGTCCAATGCTGTTATCTGCTGGAAAAGGAGGATTCCCTACCCATTTTGTAAGCACGCAGCTGGCAGGAGCTGTCGCAACCTCACCGCCTTCCGATCAGCCCCACCCAGAAGCAGGCAGAGTGGGGGGCCTGAAGCTTGCTCTGGCCCAAAGGTTTGTGGTGACTTTCAAAATAAAAGATCTCCGCCGGAGCACACCATTGTACTTCCTGTCCCATAGGGCCGGCTCTGTCCATTGTGTCACGTCTCTTTTCTAAATTTAGGCATCTTTTTTTTTTTTTTGAAGCAAAGATTACTATGCAAACATTTAAGAGAAAAACTTCGCCCAAAGTAATTTTTTCCCTTGACTTCTAGTTGGTTTCCTGCAATGTTTAGATGACTCATTCTCTTCCAAGAAACTTTAAAGAAGAGATGCGGGCTGTGTGATAGCACACAAAGACGGCTCTGTAAATTCTCTTTCTTTCCTGCCTACAAACCCCTTGATTTTTGAATAGAGAACGGAAAGGCTCTACAGTCTTCATTGTCATGCACTTGGCCTCATCAGGTTTTGTTGTTCCCAGGAATAGATGTCCCCCTTGTTTTTGGGTGGGGTCCCCAACTCTGACAACCCCTCCAGAGCAGCCAGCACAGAAGCCCTCTCAGGGACGCTGGGGCCATGCTTGCCACCAAAGGCACACAGTTAAGGTTTCTGACATAGAGGACTGGTGGCCTTTTTCATCTGTGAAAGGAGAGGCTCTGGCTATTTCCTGCCTTCTCTACGGGTCAGCATAGCTCCCGATTGCTAGGGGCTTGCTGGCGGTTTTATCTGACACTTGAACTGGGCTAGCGACACATATGTCCCCCCAGCCCTCAGCCAGAGGGAAGCCTGAAGTCCGCATCGCTTCAGCAGACTGTTCAAATAAACAGGGATAATAGTTGAGTCGGTCCTTTTCCAACTAATGGGTAGCACATGAAAGGAAACATCTGCCTGGGCTTAATTGCTGTTTTATTGGTTATGTATTTTTCTCCCCACCCCGCCCTCCTTCTCTGCGCGCTAAGTTATTTAAGTGATGGGTGAGAAAGAAGGTAGAGGACTGGGAGCTTTCTCCTGTAATCTCTGCCATTTAAATATAAGGAGATGGTAAGGGAGGTTGGGAGGCTGGCTGGGGGAGTTGGTCCGGAGGTGGGAGGGCAGGGCACTTGGAAGTGATAATCATGGTCACTTCCTGGCCTTGTTGCTGACTCTGGGCTGGTTGGTGAGTCACTTCTCCTCACTTCACCTCCTGGGACCTCTGCTCTTCAGTGGAGCTCAGCCGGCCTCACATGGGAAGGAGAGGCTGGTATATGAGCTTCTAGATGAAAGGCATTCTCTCTTGTGGCGTCTTCCAGTGGTTGAGGGCATGGATGAGAGGCACTGGGAATGTAAATTTAAGGCTGGCGAGATAACCTTTGAAGCCATCCATTTTATTGAGCATCTTGATCCCTGAGAACTCTCTGATTATCTTCCACTCTATGGAGTGAAGCCAACCAGCCATACCCTGAAGTGGTGGTGTTTGACTCTAACACAGACTCAAGAAGCCAGACAAAAGATCATAAAGAACCATAGAATGGCAGAGGTTGGAAAAGACCTTAAGAATTTTTAAGCCAAAGACTTTCATTTTATGGAAATGAAAACATGGGCCTAGAGCAGTAATGGCGAACCTTTTGAGCTCGGCGTGTCAGCATTTTGAAAAACCCTAACTTAACTCTGGTGCCGTGTCACACATAGAAATTTTTTTATGTTTGCAACCATAGTAAAACAAAGATTTATAGTTTTGATATTTATTTTATATATTTAAATGCCATTTAACAAAGAAAAATCAACCAAAAAAAATGAGTTCGCCATCACTGGCCTAGAGAGATTAACTGAGTCATCCAGTTCTCTCCTTGATGGGGGAGGATCTGGGAATGTGAGACTCTTGTGATTGCTAAGCCAGGGCTCCTTCCACCCTTTTCCACACTCCCAGGTATAAAATTTCATGTCAACCCACGACTAAGGTCACTCGTGTTATATTCCATAATTAACTCCATAATAGAAAAATAGCAAAGTATAAAAAAATGAAAATGACTGATAAACTTTTTTTTTTAATTCAGGTTCCCTAGAATCAAAGGACTACAAATTACAGCAGGATACCATATCAAATTGTCAAGACAAAAAAGGGAAATAGCATTCTTATGTTTCTAGTGGTATTTTAAATTGGTACAGTTTTTTTTCAAGGGCAATTTAATGGTATAAATAAGTAAATAATCTTTGACTCAGCAGTGCTACTTCTAGGAGAAAATAATGAAAGGTGTGTGCATAAATTATGTACAAAGTAATTTAATGCAGCATGTTTTATCATAAAAATTTATAAACAATGTAAATGCCCAACATGGGGAGCTACATCAATATGGTCTATTGTAATGTTATAGGATAACAATAATATGTAAGGAAATGTTCACAACATGTTTAAGTGTATAAATTACAGTGTGTATAATGTAATCCTGTTCTCACAAAAATTATAGAAGATCAGAAAAATATGTAACAAAGTCTAAAGTGATGATTTCTTAGTAGTGGAAATTAAGAGTTACTTTTTCTTTTTTGAGGTTTTCTACTGTTTTATGTATTTCAGTAAACATATATTCCTTTTGTAGTCAAAAAATATTCTAAAAGTCTTGAAAAAAGACAAAATCTTAAGTGATTATGTGTCTGACATGCAAAACCTCTTTATTTGCCTGGTAGCTGAGCTGTGCCCAGGTGTGTTATTCCTTCTGGTAGAAGGGCATTGTTGGTATCTGATTTTTAATAGAAAAGAACTAGAAGGAGCTGGTAGAAGATAAAACAATTGCTCCCCTTCTCAGTGACCCAGTGATGCCAATCAGTTTTATCCCCTGCTCTCTTGGGCTTGGCATAAAACACTCAGTATAGAAGGTGTGGCTCTTCCTTTCTGCTTCCTCATTCTTCTCTATTTCTACTATTCTCTCTGTGTAGTTAGATGCCAGTTCTGGGTGGCAGCAGCAAAAAACCTGAGAGCCACCACTACTTGGCATTAACCAGTTGGCAACCCCTTAACATATATTATCAGAATCGAGTAACAGTTCACAAATCAGTCTTTATTGAGGTACCACTGCCCTGGAAGTTTAAGATAGAGGTAGAGCAAGTCAGAGGTCCAACTCCAAAATAAAATAAAGAGATCTAACTCCTTCCTCTTTGAAAGATTCTGTTTAGTTGGGTACTTTGAAGTCCTTGGATGTTTATATACTTCTTCCCATCTCATCCTGTTTTACATCTTACTTTCCTCCAATTACAATTCTCAGGAATGCTTGGCTACATGTCTCTGAGAAAATTTGTTCCACTTAACAACAGTTGCTAGGTAGAATGTGGCTTTCAGACCCGTTCTTTGGGGACCAATTGAAAAACCAAAGGCTACAACCCATTTTCCCTTCACTCGATTGCCTTTGCTAAGCTATAGAAGGGGCACGTTTCATTTTATTAAAACTCTTGGAGTAATCTGACCATAATTGGGTCTGATCGGAGTGGTTATCTGATTTACTGGATTAAATAATGGGCCTTAATTGAGTCTGCGTTATTTGTAGAGCCTTTGCTCTCTTGCCTTTGTTGCCCCCTCCTTCTTCCTTCTGTTTCCCAACTGACCTTCATTCCTCTTTTCTTGCAGAGTAAAGAAGTCGGCCAGCAGCTCCAAGATGATTTGATGAAGGTCCTGAATGAGCTCTACTCGGTAATCAGACGGGTTGCTTGGCTCTTTAACAAGCAGAGGGGAGCAGCATTTGGCAGCTGCGGCCATAGTTGCATCAGCAACAGAACTGAGCTGAAGTTGAAGACAGTGCACGGTCCCCGTTGGGGGTGCCTCCACCCATCTCTTTTTTCACACTCTTATTTTCAAACCTGAATGAGCCAGACACACTTTTTATCACCTGTGCCAGCTAACTCTGGCTTTATTTGGGGGATAATCACTAGAGAACAGCCAAGGCTTAGATCACCAGCACAACTGACCCCATTTGCAGCAAACCAGAGACCTCACACCTAAAGGCAACGCAACGCAGCCTGCTTGGCACCAGTTATATGTGCATGTTGGAAAGGATTTGTGGTTCAAGGGTTTGCCTCAGTTCTTGGATTGATCTACCTGAGACTGGAGTGAGAGCTCTAGAGGGAAGCAGAGTCCTAAATGCCCATAATATGAGAGACCAGTTCAGGCAGAGAGAGCCTTGCATCGACTCTCTGGGGTTCTATAAAGGCCAAACCTCGGTAAAGAGGCAGGCTTCGGGATTGGAGGCAAGAGCACATTCTGTCCTGAAGCGACTGGCGCTTCAGGCACGTGATGCCTGTGGCTGATGCGTGTTTCTTCATGCACTGGGAGGTGGTGGTGGTTGTTTTTCCCCAGCCATGTTTCATTAATTATAATGAAAACACACATGCACACCAAAGAAATTCCTGATGCCGTACAGGGAATATTTCAATTGTGTAGCTAAGGCCTTCCAGGGCCTCTCCTCCAGCTGAGCTGTGCCAGGCCTTTGTGTCATTCTCCAGGGTTACCCCATCCTGTTTTGGAGGTGAAATTGATTTCCCGTATTTACTTGCTTATTCACTATTTCTCTCTCTCTCTCTCTCTCTCTCTCTCTCTCTCTCTCTCTTCCTTCCTTCCTTTCTTTTCTAAGTTCACAGGAAGACAGTCATGGTGACGTGGATCACAGGCATTTGGGATCAGAGAATTCCATATTCTTGATCCCAAAGTCTAGGTGTGGCCATATTGTCATGGTAACGCTTAAGCAAGTAAACAGGGGAGTCATCAGACTTGCCTCCAGTGACGCTCAGTGTGTTTGGAATTTCTGCTCTGACTCTCTGGCTCTGAAGCCAAGTAGATAGAGAGCACCCTTTGGTTTAGCTCCAAGGTTTTCCTTTCTCTCAAGTGAAGTTAAGGCTTGTTAGAAACAGAAGTGTGTTGACTTGGACCATTTTCAGACTGGATGAGTTTCCTGAACCCCCTTGTCTTTATAATGCTTTACTTCTGCTCTTTATTTTTAGAGCATCTTCTAGGCACCAAGGAGAGCTATTATTACTCCTCTCTCCTGCGAAGAATTCACTAAGATAGAAAATGACACATTAATCATTATATGAATCCTTCTCTTGTCCTATAATCATCTCGGGCCTCTGCAATTCACTGTTTCTGGGGAGGAGTAGGTTGGATCACCAGCAAACCCTAGGCTAAGTCAAATCCAGCGTGCCACCTTTGAGGTGCAACAGAGAAAGAATAGTGTCTGGGGATCTGTTAGTGTTACTCAGGACCCTAGATCTAATATGCTAAGATTTTTAAAATATAATAAGTCACAGGGTATACTTTGTATTGGGGTGAGGAAGGAAACCCTGACCCTTGCTGTTCTCGTCTGAGCTGGCCAAGCTGGCAGCCCCAGAGAACTGCAGTCTCGGGCACTTCGCGCTGGCCAGGGCTGCACTGGCCACTGGATGGCCACAGACATCGTAGAGCACAACATCTCCCCACTGGTATGTAAACAGAACTGGCTAAGCGTGGTATCCTCTGCCATCAGGTGAATTGATATACAGTCATAATCTGTCAGGGGCCAAAATAAAATTTTGTATTTTTGTAGTAGGCAATAGGAAGAGAGGACACTGGAAAGTTCCAGAGAAGGCAGTGATTCTCAAGGAGGGTGACATTTGACAATACCGGCAGACACTTTTGGTTGTCACACTGGGATGGAGGGGTGCTAGAGATTAGATGTGACTAAAATCCTGTAAAGCACAGGACAGCCTCCCACAACAAAGAATTATCTGCCCTAAAATATCAGTAGTACCAAGATTGAAACACCCTGGTCTAGTGAATTAGGCAATCGAGATGCTACCCAGTCTACCACTAGCTATATGATCTTGGGGGGTGCTCTGTAACCCAGGTCTCCACATGCCATGTACTTGAATACTATAGTGAAGGATCAGGTGAGTTTGCAGATTCCATAGGCAATTAGAAAGTTCAGAGGATGGAAGCATGTTGTTTCTTGAGGGTGAGATAAGCATAGGACTGATGTGAATAAAGCACCATGGCATTAGGGTGGCAACTATCCCTATTTGCCTAGGACTGAAGGGCTTCCTGGGACATGAGACTGAACCCTGGGAATTCCAGGGTAAACCAGGCCCATTGGTCACCTACATGGACAGTGTTTCATCACATAGTAACCTGAGACCACTGTGTGTATGCTGGATTTGGGAAGCTACTTGTGGAGTATTCTCTCTCTCTCTCTCTCTCTCTCTCTCTCTCTCTCTCTCTCTCTCTCTCTCTTGTTAAGAAGGGAACAAGGGAGGGCTTCTTATAAAGAGCTTTCCCCTTATCTGCTCTTTGGGAAGGCATGGAAGGATCTCTTGTTTCAGTGAATCTGTAGGCAGCAGAAGTCACTAGTGGGCATGGGATAAAGGAAATCAGGGTTATAAGGAACCCATCTTATTTAGTGTTTTTCTTACCTTGCATCTTACTCTTACGGCCATAAGGACTTCTTTTTGGGAGACTGTTACCCAAAGGTTGATAATTTAAGTACTTTTGAACCTTGATGATGCAAGAGGAAGGGCCCAGGTGCTCCCAAATAAAGATGCCTTTGGTAGAGAGGCCGGGACTCCGTAAGTGGCCAGCTGCCCCTCTACACCTTCCTCTTTCCTGCCTGAAGGGCCTTGATTTCCCTGACTTGGCTTCTGTGCCAGGAACTGCTTCCCACAGCTGCTACTCAGAGAGCAATCCCAGTGAGCACCCCTGCATG